CCCGCCGATGGACTCGACTTGTCGAGGTGTCTCATCGAGGTCCACAGGCCGGTTTGCCTTGGCATGCCAGAAGTTTCCTCTCGAGCCACTCTCTCCCGGAGTGTCAAGACGGCTCAATAGCAAACGATGCTCACAAAAGTTGTGTCCCCAAAGCCACCACTTTGGAAAGGTGCACCCCACAAGGTCCAGAGGTACAACCGACATCATGGAAGACGGCAGTCGTCTCTATGCCATTTGTAGCGATCAATCCATGTAATGGCCGATTCCCGCAGGAGCAGCGAGTGTCACGGGAGCACGATATCGATCTCCCCAACTGCAAAGGAAGAGAGCAGAATGCAATACTTCCCGCCAACAACTTCCGTACAGTCGCTGCAATAAACCTAATACGATCTTTGACAAGACATGCTCTACGGAGATAAGCGACTAGTCATGAAATACCAGCAGAGATGGTCCTTCCGGAAATCATAGTGGTAACCACCTACTTGTCGCATAGTCCGAGCACTTCAAAATCGAGCCAAGGTTGCGGCAGCCAGCTTCTCGGACGGACTCCGAGCTCTCCAATAGACGCCGAAGAAAGGAGTTGAGATCCACGATCGATTCATTTCTAAGGAAGTACGAAAGACTAAACTGTAGAAGAGATCCTATTGATCTGAAAGACCAGTCGTTTTGTTCTGAGCATTTCCTCGGTTTCAAGACAGTTTTTGTGGATATGTTGTTCACAATTATTGGACAACTTTGGAAAAGTAAGTACGTCATGAAAAACACCGTAATTTGGTCACTATAAGGTACCCTTCGTGAAATTCGAATATTATCATTGAAAGGATTAATATCCCCTTTTTTGTATCCGTTAAGAGTCGGTTCAGCGTAAAGTTTTATGGAAGCTTTACAACGTTTGACCGCCATGACTATGAAGAAGTGTCCAACCACAAAAAAAAAACAGATTGGAAAAACCAGGTTTTCGCCATAGAGCCATATACATTTCGAGCGCTTAAATGAGTTTATTAAGAGGTTTGTTGCCAGAATACACTACTATTGTTCCGGGCCCACCCCTCCCCCAGTCCCAGTGGGAAACGCTTACTTGCAGTCGAGTCATAGTAAACACTACTTGCGACACAAAATCACCTAACAATTCCGCTCCCTCCCCTCCCACCTACCTCCCTTGCTTCATCGAAATATATCCACCTAGTTAAAAAGGATGTAGTGAAAGCGAGCCATTACTCGAGCCGAATTTTTGAACAGGGCAACGTTGAGTAAATCCAACATACATTCAGTTGCAGACAAAATACAAATTTGGATCCCGACATTACATTTCGGCACAAATTTCGAGATCCTAGGAGACGATATGGGGCCTAGCTGCTTCGAAAAAGGGCCCAAGAAAAGCGCAATGAGGGCTTTTGACCCGCAAACTGTCGTCAAAGACGTCCGCTGAATGGCCAAATTCCTCCGCAGATGGCGCACTTTGGTCGGATCATGCAATAAGCATCTACAACACTGTACCATTTCCCCTACAGAATCCGCTACCAGGAGGGTCTGATTTTTCGTTTTTTTTTNTTTTTTTTTTGGGCTTTTTGATAGTTTCCGCTACAAATGTACTATTCGGATCAACGCTTTTAGTTGTTAACTAATTGTATGGTACTTGATAGATGCTAGCTGTGCCCCTAAGTGGTAAGTTCCTGATTTATAAGATGGAGCGCATTCCAGGGCAAACTTTGAAAACTTTCATCTTGCTAGTTTGTGCAGCTTCGATAAAGCCTGGCACTGAACCGACTCGTAACAGAAAAAACGGCTACCAACACTTCCCTTCAAAATCTTTCTTTTTAAATTTTTTTTGAGCGACTATTGTGTCTTGCTTCGATTTCGCTAGCACTTCCTTAGAAACAGATTGTTTATGTCCCGGTTCCTGGTTGATAACTGCTTGGAAGAAATTGGACCATTTATTGACCATGTTCCTCTTATAGGGGGATGGGGTGGGCAAGCAGTTGGTGTTGGCGGATCAATAGGACGACTCCCCATTGATTCGTCGTTTTTTCTTTCTCCCAGACAGGCTCAGCTGTAAAACTAACATTAATCGATATCGTCTAGACGAAACTCTCAAGGGTTATAACTGCTATTAAAGAGGGATGTATTGCTGCCCCAAATGTTTTCAAAGCTGAGCCATCCCACATTAGGTTCAGGAATAAAGCCGTCGAATGGCATAAAAATTGCACGTAAACAACCACATAAAATGCAAAAAGTAGTGATTCAGCAAAAGGGTAAGGGTCGAGTCCGCAGGGCCACGAACATCTAAATGATGGCCACAATGGTGGGCGCCCTGGAAGAGGTGAACGCCAAGGAGATTACCAGTCGATCTAGTGCAAGAGGTCGTGAAGTTGCCAAGCCAAATCACTATTCCAGAATAGGACAAAGCTGACCTACCATGCCTGCTTTCTAGGTACCTTCTAGGACCAGTTAACATACCCACCTGCTTGTCATTTTCACAAGTTCTCGCACTACGAAACCAGTTGTCATGGAAAAATAATATATACGTAAGCTACTTTCCCACATGACATTCTTTTTTGCCCCTCAACTCGACTTCAGAAACCTACAACACAGTTGAAGTTCACCATACACAAGTACCGAACAGAGAGTTCAACTTACTCCTACAGAATTGTGGAGGGGAAATACGAGAAATTGTTCAACCCCTGAGGAATCCGACTAGATGCTTCCCATAAAGCATCCGTAAACCGCAATAGAGAAATTAAAAAAGGGTTTCTGGGAAAGCTAATCGATACCGAAGCAAGTAGTCTCCAAATATCGGTGCTTCTCTTTAGTTTCTATATAAACATAGAAATTTCAAGAAAAAACTGTACCACTTTACAAAACCCCAAATTTGAACAAAACATTTTTCCTTACTTTCTACAAGTTGTCCAAGATTGTCAAACAATAATTCCAGAAAAAAANAAAAAAACTGTCTCGAATCAAGGAAATACCTGAACGTAAGACGACAGTCTTCAAATCCACAGGTTCTACTTCACAATTGAGTCCCTCAAACTTCCGTAGGCATGAATCGGTCGAGATTCCAACCTCTTACTTTCGTTGTCCATAAAGAGGCTCGCAGCTCGTCGAAAAATTGGCCTTCGCTCACATTGGCAAGATATTGAAGGTGCCAAGAATATGCAGACAAGAGGGCGGCTACCACCACGATCCCGGAAATGACCGTCTTTACTGGCAACTCACAACCAATCGCTTACATCCGTGAAGCCTTGCTCCGCCAAGACTGTATTAGAAGAACCACAGCGATTGCACGGAAAATGCAGGTGGAAAGTATCGCATCCCGTCTTCTTCGCTTGCAGACGGGAAGATCGATATCGCGTTCCCGTAACACTTGATGCTCCTGTGAGAATCGACCAATACATGGATTGATCGCTGCAAATGGCATAAATACGAATGCCATCCTCCACGATGCCGGATGCATCTCCAGACCTTGTGGAATGCACTTTTCCAAAGCGATAGCCCCGAGTGCACAACTTCCGCGAACACCGCTGCTATTGAGCCGTCCCGGCACACTGAAAAAGGGTTGCCCAAGAGGAGAACCTCTGACACGCCAAGGCA